TGGAAGGCTGAGTCAACCCTGAGCCGGTGAGATTTGAACCGCTGAACTGCTGATCTAGCAGTAGCCTGCAGTGCTGCATTTAACCACTGCGCCACCGTGGCTCTTCAAAAGTGTACTGCAAATGCTTAAGAATATAACCAAGCACATATTCTATTGCTAAAGATGTTCTATCTATACGATTTTCTTTGGTGCATATTTTAATGAGTTTGGATCTTCTGAAAATACACTATATTGCCAAAAGTATTCACTCAGCCATCCACATAATCAGACTCAGTTGTGAGCGAATACTTTTGGCAATATAGTGTATATTGATCAAGTATCAGTGTGTGTGTGTGTGAGAGAGAGAGAGAGAGAGATCTGTGACTATTCACTGTGTTATATATTTACTTATGCCAACACCAAGTTCTTCTAGCTTAAACATAGAAAGACATCAGCCTGAAAGGAAAAAGTGACATTTTCCTGCAGCACAGTTCAGTATATGAAGGTATTCATGCCTAATAATCAAATTGTGATATTGTTGACTATGAACAAAATGAAGTAGCATTTCTTAAATTTTGTGAATCTGATTTACACACATATACCTCACTGTGTGTGCATCAGTTTATTTGTAAAGTAATATAAGGACTCTCGTCTTTAAGGGCTACTCAAACACTGAAAAGAAGCAAGCTAAGGTTTGCCATTGAATAAATATCAACAAGTAGTTGCAATTATTCTCAGTCACTTAATGAGTATTCAATGATATACAATACATCAAACTTTCCTACAACATGTGTTTGACTTGGATTAATTTTATATGTGTACTTAAAATAGCTCACCTATAAATTAAAAATTATTATATAGTTCTAAGAAACAAGGATGGTCTGCCAAAAACATTGTTAATATGCTTCATTTCCATTTGTCTATTGTTAAGGGTATAACATATTAATAATGTATTTGTATAATGTGACATAAATGTATACTAGCTTCATCTAGTATATCCCAGGGGAGTGTTTTGTGGTCATTCTTTCTTTTTGATTTCTTTGATCTGTTTCCAGTATTAAGGATTCCAAGTTTGTTCCCAGCCACACTCAGCTTGATAACTGTAAGGAAATACTTAAATCTAAAGTAGTAGCTGGAAAGAAAGATAAACATTAACTTTATTGTCACTCTTAATCATGAACTAACAATACAAGTAGTGTCCTTTCAAATCCAGAGCCATTTATTAGCTATATACTATTACCGTATATAATGAAGTACCTGCCAGTTCTTCCTCTATGTTGGAAATCCTTGGATAATTTGCATTTGCAAATTAGATTGTCCAGGCATATTTTTTAAAGTGTACACCCAGAAATATAATGTGAAAACTGTTCTTTAATAAAATTATTATGTATGTAGAATTCTCTTTATGACAATATAAACTTCCATACTTATACAGTTGTGCTGTGTTGCAAACACTCCAGAGAAAATTGATAATGTTAAAATAGGAATTAATTTATACATATTATACATTTCTAGTTTTGAATGATAAAATTCTCCATATTTTATTGAAACAATATCATTCAGGTTATACAAAATGAGTACAGGTAGTCCTTGATCTACCACCACAACTGAGCCCAACATTTATGTTAAGTGAGGCAGTTGTTAAGTAAGCTGCACCCCATTTTACAAATTGCTATGGTTTTTAAGTGAATCATGTCGTCCTTAAGCAAATCTGGCTTCCCCATTGATTTTGCTTGTCAGAAGCAGCTGGGAAGGTTACAAATAGTGATAACATGATCCTGGGGCAGTATAACTGTCATACATACATGCATGCATGCCAGTGGCCAAGCATCTGTATCACATGACTATGGGGATGCTGCAACAGTATGAAAGACAATCATAGGTCACTTTTTTCAGTGCCATTGTAATTTTGAACAGTCACTGAATGAATGGCTGTAAATCAAGGAATACATGTATAATTTTATTAACTACATAGTTTTCAGGCGGATGTTTCTACATGTGTAAAACATGTCTGATTTACTGTATCAGAGAACAATTCTAGCATAGGAGGGATATAAAAGAAACAAAAGGTATTATTAAAAAATATGTAGGCAATTATTTTATATAATTAGTTTCTATAATCCATGTTTTCTCAATTTAACTCTTTATATGTTGATATATGATACTTTTAATTGGAAAACTCCTGGAAGTCCTATTGAGGTCAATTTTCCACATATTTCTATTCTTGTTTTCCAAAGCTACTTCTTCAAAGCAGTAAGCAAAAATAAAAAGCAATTAAGCATTGTTAATTTTATTATTTCTAATAAACTTAGTGTAACTTACCTAAATTTAGTTTTTAAACTGGTTTTCAGTGCAACTTTATTTTATTTCACATTTTATTTGTTACACCTAGTGGCATATTTATTTATTGGCATCATAACCTAATTATTCTCTCATGGAAAACTTGTGGGAGGATTTGATATTGAAAATCCAGTCTGGCACTTGATGTCTCTGTTGCCATGGTCCATTAAATGCCCAGAGTATGTGGAGACCATCCAATTAAATAAATGTCCCTCTCATCCCTCTCAACTCAAAACATAGGAGTTTACATTTTTCACTGAATAAAATGATGATGATATTTGCATTTGTGTGTGAGCTCTCAATTTTTCCATTTTAAAGTCCTTTTTAAATTAAATTCTATAAGAAAACAGATGGAAAATTAACCATTTTAGATAATTATTGGATGACCACTAGGTGACAGCAATAAAATGCAACAAACTATAGCACTTTCCTTGTCACTGACTGATTTCCAGAGTTTTTCACTACTGATCCGGTAGCCCTTAATGTCTGGTCTTCTAATTTACAACTTTAAAAACAAAACCAGATTATCCTATTTAATCACACAGAATACTCATGCCCTTCTTTCTTTCATTCTCCTGACCCATTTTCTTGTTCTTCTCCAAACTGACCTAATTTAGTGTAATGAATGTTATCTGCAAAGCTGCAACCAACTCATTAATTAATACATTAATCACTGCCAAATATTTCCAATCCCAATATCTTCAAGTATTTCATAATAGCCTGCCAAGGTTGTGAACAGTAACCTGGGAAAAACAGGATCAATAATCTACAAAATGTTTTCCTCTAGGTGATGAATCTGGGAAAGGAAAAATCAATCCAGATCATAATCACTATTTCTTCTGCTTTTAAATGCACACAGGTCTAAAGTAAGCCAAGTGTTTCAGTCATTCAGCCATGAAGAATGAAATCAATATTATTACCTTCACAAGACTGTCTGTTAGATGAGAGAACATAACCTATTTCACAAGCTTGGCAAGTGAAGGAGCCTGGTGTATTAATGCAGATTCCCTGTGGGCAGGCCATGTGTGAATTGCACTCATCAATATCTAGAAAAAAGAACAGAGTTTCCCTGACATAGAATAGGGAACAAGAAAAAGCTCAGAAAATCTATCCAATATATGATTCAAAAGCTTATCAGGCAAATGTCTCTAGCATTTCCTGAACGGTGTATAAAAATGATGTGCTACATCCAATTATTTCTTCATATCAAGTAATATTCACTATTTACTGTTTATACACACAGCTTCCAATCAGTTTTCCATTAATTTCAATCAATATTCAGATAACTTGATTTCTATGACCATAACAAAAGCTTGTTATTTATAAGACTATACAATCTTCCGGATTAGGCTAATATACCTTTTTTAGTTAATCAGAAACTTATCCTTATCATCATATCAAGCCACTTATATACCTTCACATGTTCTCCCATCCATTGATGCGATATAGCCATTACCACAATCCACACAAGAAAAGGAGCCCTCGGTGTTGATACAGCGTCCTCTGGGACAGATGTTATAGGTTGTACATTCATCAATATCTATGACAAACAAGAGAAACAGGGAACTGAATTTTGAGTTGATGTCACTTGGCAGAGCAACAACAGAACATAAAGAGCCCCATATAACTTTCAACAAACGATGCTATAGGCAGAAGGACAATGTGTGCAAAAGTTATCAAGAAATAACTATACCCAGAATAAGATTATTATTAGACACTTCATGAAGTTATCCAAAAGCATGTGGAAATTATATTAAGGGGTCTTAATATATCTGGCTCAATGAAAATTAAGGAATAGAGCTTCAATGCAGAAAATAATAAAGTTGAAAAAAATGTTAATTTCTTTCTAACTACTGGTGGGCCTGTTATAGTCATTAGATTATTATGAACTTTTTACTTATATGGAAACATAAATTTATGATCATAAAGGGGAAAGGCCTTGTACAGGGACAAGAGGAGCTGTATATTGGTACACATTAACTATGAAGGGGAGACGACTACAGTTTATATTTTCACTCAAAGTAACCAGCAAAACTTTACCTATAATCTTTCATCCTATGATATTTAGATTAGATACTCAACTGCAGACTGCCAGTGTTATTACCAGTTAAGCTTACTTTGATGTTTTTTGAAACCCTTCTCTTGTTTTTCTGCCATTTAATCATTGATTCATTTGTTGTGAACATGTTATACCACGAAGTGCAGTCTACCATCAGTTTCTTGTAATGGTTGATGGGTGGAGATGGTTGTTGATTTTTAAAAAAGCACTCATCTACCTTTGTGGTTTATTGCTTAACCAGAACCATCATTTTCCTACAAAGTTCATATTCTGGTTCTTATCCTGTGCCATGTCCTAATTTGGTGAACTTATTTATACAGATCCAAATTAAGGTTTTGCTACTTCTGTTTTCTGCCTGAGACTGTCTAATGAGACAGGCCTCTGCCACTGACAGTACCGAGCAGGGTTGAGTCAAGACTAGTCACTGCTAGGCTCCTTCTGTCATTACCTAAGCTGAATAAAGTAAAACAATAACAACAAAAACAGGTTTTGCATAAGCAAAACATACCAGCTCCCAGATTACCAAGGGAGAAGCATAACTTGATCCACTAATCTACTTACCTTGTGGTAAAACAGCAAGGGCCATGGAATTTAATTACTCCGCTAACTGTCAGCTAAGTAGTCTCACACTTCAGGCAGAACTACTGAAGGAAATTCTAAAGCAATTCTAAAAGACAGCTCTTCTCTGTCCAGGTCTTTAAAGAAACTTCAGAATGGAGGAGAGGCCTGAATTGGGGTTAGAGGGATGCTACCTTGTTTTTCACAGAGTCACAGAGATACTAACTTGATTGATTAAAAAAATAAATAGCAGCCAGAAATGCTGAATAGCAACATAAAATTATGATCATAAAGGGAAAAGGTCTTGCCCTGGGAGAAGAACAAAGGGTAACTTGACTTTGGTTCTTTTTGTCATGGGTGGTGATGCTTAACTGATTTTAAAATTCTGAGGATAAGGGAGGGGGGGGTCACCTAATGAAGGGGGAGAAACACTATCTTGCTTTCATCTTATGTCCAAATGTTGCTCATCTCCAGTTTCAACTTGAAGTTTTGCTGTGATGACTGCAACAATTTAATTTCAACAAAATAAGTAAGCAAAAAAGCTTAATGACCTAATGGCAGGGGAAGTCACTCTGAAGCATTTCAGCCTTGCAGCAATTAAACAGGTATGTGCAAAATATAAAACCAGAATTTGTTGATTTCTGATAGACTTACTCAACACTGTTGACTTAATGGTGGGTTCATATATCAACTACTTGTCTTGGGATAGAGTTTGAGACATCACACTATGCAAAGTGAAATGTTCTAGCAGTTTAACTTCCAAAGAAAATAAACAAGGCCAAAAGTAACTCCTTCTCAATGTTTGCAACTATAATTTCATGTAATCTTTCTAATCTGTCCAGTATTGGGGGTAATTGGCTTTGAGGCCTGTAGAGGTTTCTGCTGTGACACAGAGATAATGCAATTATGATCTTAGCAGAGATCTTCATAGCACTGTGAGCAATGCAAGGTTAGATTTGCAAGGAAATTAGGAGAAAAATCCTTGACACAATCAGAGGAAATTAGTGCAACATACAGGAAAGAAAAATAAACTAAACTTTTTAGAATTGTTTTGTTAAAGAAAACAATATAGCATAGAACTGAAAAACTGAAATATAAATTTTTTCATATCGATTTTTAATTTTTATCTTACTTTTGACCTAAACTCTTTAGTGGAGAAAGGATTATATTTCAGTGAAAAGGCATATCTTTTACTTGCAGGAGATCCCACAGTGAGCCTCCACATTTTTAATTTGGAAAAAAAAATTGATGGGAAAAATCTCTGTCCAGTATTTGGGGGAGTGTTTGAATCAATAAGCTGTGTTGTATTAGACATTTTCGATAAGGCAGTTTGTTTTATCATAAGCCAGCATTACTAGATATCAGCCATTCTTTGGAACAGACGAAATACTGAGATAGAAGTGCAGGTAGTATTTTGAATAATCTACATTTTTTTGGTTCTGGAGAAAACCAGTTATGATGGAAACATCTTCAGAGACACATGATTTAAACCAATATACATAAGTTGCAAAGGGAAGTCAGAATATAAAAACAGCACTATTTTGCATTTTCCTTCTTTCCAGAAGAGGGCAATCTCTGTTTAGCAGATTCCTTACCAGCATTACTTCACACATCCTATTTATTTGTAGTCAGATAAAAGTTAAATCTGAATGAACATAATAAAAGTGACCTTTCTAAATGAGCATGTTCTCTGCTAAAGACACAAGTCGCATTAAAAAGCTGAGATGAATCGGTAAGGAATGAATTTATACATGTCAAGTATTTTGAACTACTTGGCAAGAAATATCAAAACTAGCTATGAAAGGAGAACATTTCAGAAAAGCGGAGGTCTTTTGCAAACTCACCTTCACACTGTCCTTTGTGATTCAGGAAGTAGCCTATTTTGCACTCACAGTGATACGAGCCAGGTATATTGATACACTGCCCTCCATGGCAAACATCTGGTTGGTCACACTCATTTAGATCTGTTAATTCACAGCAACATGCTCTTCAGCAAAAATGATCAGTCCAGATTGCTATGATGCACCATGGTCAAGTACTTAGCTCATATTATCCTTTTAATACAGCATGTTTAAATTGGAATGACCAGAGCAAATCATCATACTTTAAAACACACTATGGAAAAATCTAGTGCTCTGGTGAAATCTATAATACTGGGAAAAACAGAAGGAAAGAGAAGAGGAGGACAACCGGCAGAAGGTAAATGGACTCAATCACAGTGGCAATAAGACCAAAATTGGGCAAACCGAAGAACCAGGTTGGGCACAAATTGCCCTGAAGAAAGTCTATGTGCCTCTAACAGTTGGCACTGACTTGATGGCATATAATCAATCAATAATTAACATTTAATCTAATTTGCATATTTCAAAATGTAAATGCTTCTGCAAAAGTATGCAGAGACAAAAGTTTTTAGATACATATCATATTATTGCTTTTCTGTTCATTTGCTTCCATATTTAATGAAAGGTTTATTATCCTCTTTGTTATTTATATATTAAATCTGCTATCTATGTGCTATCATTATCAAAAGCATAGGGCAGGAAATTGAACATGATTTAAATTAATACAATAATAATGGCATGCAACAGCTAAACAATAAAATAAAATATGGCAATAAATTCTAGAGCACCCAGTTTTGTTCACTTCTTTAGATATATGTATGGATAAGATGAAGGAAAGGTTAGTGAATTTTCTTGGCCACAAAAGATAAAAGAACTGAGATATGCAGGCAAGACATAAATAAAATAAAACATCTCTCAATAGATAGATAGAGATAGATAGATAGATAGATAGATAGATAGATAGATAGATAGATAGATAGATAGATAGATAGATAGATAGATATAGATAGATACATAGATACATAGATAGATTAGATACATAGATAGATAGATAGATAGATAGATAGATAGATAGATAGATAGATAGATAGANAGACAGACAGACAGACAGACAGACAGACAGACAGACAGACAGACAGACAGACACTGTAGATATATAGAGTGAGAGAGAACCAATCAACCAAATTACTCTCATTTCCTGATCTTCCATGGTAGGCATCAGAAGACGGCATTACCAATATGTAATTCAGTACATATGTAATTTGATTTGTGATCTGCATTAATAGAGCGGCATCTAGTTCTCAGGGTTTTTAAACCGCAAACAAATTTGCTTCTGTTTTCTTCTTCAAAAATTTTCTCTAACATTCCAGCTTTTAAATGTAACTTTCTCTTACGTACATAGGTTTTATTATGAACATTCCCTAAAAATCATTACATAATGAAAATCTCCCTACTCTATTTGTTACTTAGTTTTTTAAAAGACAAATGTTCTTTTAAAACATTTGCAACGTCTTTTTTAAAAAAATAAACATGCCCAGTTTATATTCCATTTTTGGAAACATTATACCTTTTCAGACACACCTAAATATAAATATAAATTTGTGACAGAAAAAATATATTCTAGAAGACTCTACCTGCTGTTGCCCTCAGTGGTGAAGAATAAGATGTTTGGTGGAACTTGCAGATATTTTCCCACATAAATAAATGGTGAATTTCTTTTACATTCTCTGATTTCATAGAAATATTTCTTACCCTGACATGTTTGCATGTTTTGTGAAGTGAGAATGCTATACCCAGAGAAGCAGATACAAGAATAAGAGCCTTCAGTGTTGACACAGTGACCCTTCCCATCACATGGATTTCTCTCACATTCATCAACATCTGAAACAAGAGGAGATAGTTAAAAACATTTTGAAACTGACCTCCCTATCTGTTCTGTAGTCACCCAACCAGCTTAGCCATTCAAATCCCACACAAGTGAAAAGTGTAGTTTGTAGAAGACGGAACTAAAAATCACTGATTAAAACTGTATGCATCATTTCTTGGGTCACATTCTTTATTTCCCAGTCTCTAACAACTTCTATGAGCCATGATGGCACAGTGGTTAGAGTGCAGTACTGCAGGCTACTTCTGCTGACTGCAGGCTGCCTGCAATTTGGCAGTTTGAATCACATCAGGCTCAAGGTTGACTCAGCCTTCCATCCTTTCTAGGTGGGTAAAATGAGGACCCAGATTGTTGGGGGCAATATGCTGACTCTGTAAACTGCTTAGAAGGGACTGTAAAGCATTGTAAAGTGGTATATAAATCTAAGTGCTATTGCTATATTTTAAACTGTTTTTCTTATATACTCATACTGCCACAGACTACATTTCCACCATCAAACTAATTAAATAACTAAAATACCAATGCAGTAAGTGTGACTTGGATGCTGTTGATAACCAGGATAACACAAGCAGGTATATCCTTCAGGAAAGTTCACACAAGTGCCTGGCCCACACATATCAGGTGAAGAGGAACATGGATTTATCTCTAAAAAGGAAAAAGAAAAATGTTGTCAGGGAACAAATAAAATGGCAATGTGCTATTGTCCCAAATCCAAGACAAATGTAAATATTTTTACCTTAATTAATGCAATTCATTCGTGCAAGACACAGCAAAGGCTATACTTAAAGGTAATCAGTACCATCAGTCTAAACACAAAATGTTATGCCCTGAGTTTGCCTGGTTTCTATAATTTATAAACCAAGATTTATAAAGATATATTCCTGTTTCAATAACTTCATTCTGGATTATACCAAACTCACTGGAGAAAATTTGGAATCAGTCCAGCAACATGCAAGAGCTCAAAAAACACCCACATCTCTCCATAGACTTCAAAAATCCCATCAACCAGCCAGCTCACAAACAAACCCATACAGACAAAAGAGTATTGAGACAGTCTTTGCTATGGGCTCTTTCCAAGAACGTTTTAGTGTAGAGCATAATGGCAGGGGCAGCTCTCCCAGACATTGAGACAAGCCTGAAACAACACAGCTGCTATTATCCAAGCAGTAAACATATGTCTGCCTAAGGTCACAAATCTTCCCACTCCACCAAAAAAATGCCCATGACTCAACTTGTGTGACCTGGAATAAATGACAAGAGATACTCCATAGCCTTCCAATTCTGCCATTGTTGTTCTATGGTTGAAAAGTGTTATTTTTCTATAACTCCTTCCCAGGTTTGATTGAAAAGGACTACTTGGCATATAAGCAGGATAGAAATGAGTATTGTGAGCATTATCCTATTTTGTTACAGTTAATAGCTTCCAATCAGGAAGTTGCTGGCTCAAACAGCATCTTGGCCATGAACTTACAAAGTCTTTTGACAAAGCCTATTTTCCATCTTAGGATCCCAACCTACAATATTGCAGTAATGAATCTGAGTTGTTAGATTGTTGAAATATGGTATGTAATGTGCTTGGAATACTTTTTTCTCCTCTCTCTTTCTCAATTATCCTGGGATTTGGCATAAAGATCTGCCCATTTTCATTTATTTCAGTGAAAAGAAGAATACTGCATCATAAGATGGTGCTTAGGGGTGATTACTAGTTTGAAATGTATTATTTATGATTACCATATTCAATATATATGAAAAACAATGTAAGATTTCATTACAGAGAAAAAACTACAAATGCTACAATCGATTTTAATATCACTTGTGAAACTGACATAAACTTTTTTAGATTAGCATCATGAAATTCTTTCGTTTGACTGTCTTGTGTGAACCCATTTGAAATGCAAAATCTCTTTACTTGCTGCACACTGTAATTGAATTATAAGAAATAATTTATTAGAAAATGGGTTAACATACCTGTGAATACTGTTGCTGTGTCTCTTGAAGCAGAAGTTTCATCTACAGCTACTGGAAATTGTTTGGCAGGAGAAAGGGAGGGATTCTCTCTTACATCCACTACAAAGGATATGAGAAACAGGCAAAAACTATAAACATATTAGACAAATAGCAGCAATCAACTGGACTCTGTAGTCTCATACATATCATTCAGTCCAACTTACTGCTGAATAATTCATATAGTTGAAAGATATAATAAGTCATCTAATCCAATGTAGCAAATCTACTCAAAATTATTTCTGCAGCAACCTCACAATGGACCAGCAAGGAGTTTTGTTTTTTTTTTTAAAAAAAAACCATTTTTCCAAGGGAGAGAAGGAGAAATGGAGGAAGGATAATTATCTTCTTGGAGACATGAATGGAGTATTAGGTCCAGTTTTAGATGAATTGGCTCACAGGCAGAAAGGAAAACTTCCACAAAAATCTTTCAATATATGGATGAATTAGCAATGTCAGAATAAGTTTCAGATGCATGGAGACTACAAAATGTAATGTCTCTTCAAAGGCTGCTGGCATCAATCACTCCAGGAATGAGATGTTCATAACCTTCCAGATCAAGGGAATTATCACCCTTCCCTCACCTGACACCCAGCTTGCCTATGAGCCAGCATATTTGACTAATATACTCAGAAAAGAGACCATGATCTTAACAATAGTCAAATACACATTATACAATATATAATATTAGACAACGTGCATTGATAAAGCTTTGAAATACACATGACATACAAATGCATACTGCTTCTGGGGAAGTGGCAGACAGAAGATAACTTTTGGAAAAAGCTAAGCTGACATTTGGAGCCTTGAATAGGGAGCCAATGAGTAGACTGGCTCCTTTGACTCTTCTGGATAAGGAAAAGATGCATGATCACTTAAGCTGTTTGCCTTACATTTACTCCTTGTGAGGAGAATGCAAGACAGAAATCTGCAGTGGGTGGGAGATGAAAGAGACAAGGGAATTTGCCATAATTACTTCAGTCACAAATGGATCCTTTTTAAAGACACTAAATTTCCACTTCCCTTGAGAACAACTTTCAGAAATTAACTTCAAAGAAGTTAAACACCATCAAAGTGACAAGACCAGGGTGACTGTCTTCAATCCTTAATATAAGAAAATTGATATCTATCTTTATTTTACAAATTTAAATGAACAGTGAAAAGCAAGACAACATTTTTTTTGCTATAGGAAGTTTTAAACTGATTAAGGGCTAAGAAAACATTATAATATTGGATTTTAAATATTAAGATTTAGTAATTAATCTTAAAGAATAAATGTACTTTTGGAAAAGAAAAACTGTACATTAGAAACAGAACAAGCCAGGTAACATAATAAATGTTCGGATATATGTTTGAGAACCTGAATTGCGACCTGCACAGAAACTTTAAATGAACTTTGTTATGTCTTCCCAGAAACAGTTTGTTCCCAGATGATGTTACAGTAAAAGATATGCAACAAAATCTATGCAGAACAACATGGATGAGAATTTGAGTAAGAATTTGTCATCAGTTAACAGTTACCAAGAAAATATTGGGTGAAGCTTTTAAAATTAAGAAGCAAATAAAAATGACAATCCCAGAGAGCAATTGGAGGAATTTCTTTTTGCTAGACTTATAAAAGAACCTGCTTAAAGTATTGAATCAATTTCTAAGAAGAATCAATAACCATCTCAACGGATTAAAGTGCAAGATTATTTTATGTAAAGAAGGAACACAAGGTTGGTTTATTTTACCAGGCTTAAAAGGAAAAATGTTGCTATTTGGTGTGGGTTTTTTTAATTGTGCTGATATATGGACTGGAAAAACATTGTTTATTAAATTTTGTTACATTAATGTGGTGTTTTGAGTTTTTTTCTCCTTCAGTTACTTTATATATCCTAGTATGACAGAATTTAAACTAACTCACTATTTCACTGTCTTTTTATTTAAGTAAATAAGTTTTGGTAACTTGCTCTTTTTAAAGGAAATATCCTTCTTTACTATGTTACATTTTTTGTTTGTATTAGGATACTGGGATTACTTTATACTTGTTAAATGTAGATTTGTTTATAGTTAAGATATGAAATGTTTATCTGGATATGTTGCTATTTGAGGAGGTTATCTTGGTAGTGTTGGCATGTGGAATGGAAAAATGTTGTGCATTGGGTTTGTTTACAGTTAACATGGTGTTTAAGTTTTATTTCCATTAGGATATACTTTATGGCTTTTAAGTGTGGTTTGGCTTACAGCAGAAGAAAAATGTGAGACAGTTGGTGTAGTGGTTAGGGTATCAGGCTGGAAACTAGGAGATGGTGAGAGGTTTAGTCTTCCAAGTTTTTGGGCTTATGCCTGGAGCTCACCCTTAGGGAACTTCTCAATACCAGATGTTGTTGAATTAGTATTGTCTAATTCTTATCATTAGATGGCATCCTTAAACTTCATAATGCATTAGAATTAGGATTTTTCAATTATTTTTATATGAATAAACTGCATATAGCATAATTTACCGATACCACTTTAAGAGTAATTGTGCTGTAAAAAGGAGTTAAAAAGATAATTCTGTAATGTTAATCTCTTATAGACAAAAATAGAATAGATAAAATATTGCTTATTATCGTCTATCCAGTAGGTTCAACATCCAGCTTGCTTTTCCATCAGCAATAAGTATTCAGCAAATTATAGATTGTGTTTAGAAGATCTATTTGGTTCTTTCCCCTCACATATCAAAATAATCAACAACCTAAGAATTGTACTTTTTGTCATCTCACTCATAAACACCTATTTCAGCAAATGTACTTTGCAATTTACCTGGATTAGTATCAGATTCTTGGGTAACCTCATCTGTATCCTATGAACAAAGCATAAGTACAGTGACTGTTCATAAAGTATATGTAATTTACATAGAGATGAATTCCAACCGATCTAAGAATTTTCTTTTTCAGCAATTTCCTTTTAAATATATTGCTGGGTAAGCATATTAGGTGGATAGTCTAATTTTATATGAACCTAAATTCAGTTTGATATGAAATGATACATGGGAGAGACGGGGGAGGGAGGGGGGGAGACCAATTCTTGTTGCTTCCCGATTATTCAGGCTTATTTCACTGCCAGCAATCACATGTCTATAAATAAGCTATTGTTATCTTTTTAGCTATTGCTAATTTCCCCTTAGTTAATCAACTTAGCTTGTAACCATTCTCAGCCATCACTACAATGAATTTCTTCTTGTCTCTTCAGAACTTGTTCCTCCCTGGAAATCTGTGATGACTAGATCAACCTTTCGTAATTTTGTTTCACTCATTAACTTGTCTCCCTCTTTGATCCTATGAATTATCCAGAACTTGTACCTCTGAAACTGCCATCTTTGCTTATTAGCAATTTTCTCCTTCTTTCTTCCACCAATACTAACCACTTCCTCTCAGCTCCTTGGCCCATTAGGCCTGCCTCCCTTCTCCATGAAAGAGAGACTCATTCTCTCCTCCCCCCACTCTCTCTTAGTGAGAAATTTACAATTCTATATTTTTCATCAGATTAGGCTATTGATGCCACCTGCCCAATGACCTTTCTGGTGGTAATGACACTACAAAGGGTAAAAATATCTCTCTTCCTCATCATTGGCAAGCTGTAGAAAAACAATGAACAAATTGTTGCTGAATTTAGTATGAACTATTAAAAATCATCCTATTTGATTAATACATTATTTTTCAAACTTTCTATTAAAATATAATTTAACTAGTCTCTATTCTGCACTATATGAATAAATATAGTACTTTTACAAGATCAGTCAATTATTTTTAGGTTGAATATTACACCACTTACTCTTAGTTTAATCTACCTCATAAGTTTTTACTATGAGGAAAAGTAGGAGCACTGTGTGCACCATCTTGAATGACTGAATGAGAGGAAAGATGCAAATCTAACAATAAAGAAATCATCTCCCAAATGTAGATTTACCAGTAATTTTTTTACTCACCTGATCCTCTGAGGATTCAGCTGTAAAATGACAAAATGTTATTAGAATATAGGGTGTTTTTGAATGCCAAATATATTTGCAAGTGAGAATTGCTAACCCAGTTGTAACAAACCCATTTCCTATTCTATATAGCTTTTCCATTTTTGAAGAGTGCCATTATTTCCCCTCAGTCATCTTGCCAGATTCTTTAATTGCTCCTTTATAGAGCTTGGTTTCCAGACCCTTCACTATCCTGATAGGCCTCCTTTTAACTTGCTCCAATATATCAGATCCTTACTGAACTATAGTGTCCAGAACTGACCATAACATTCCAGGTTGGAGTTTTGCTGGGCCAAATGGAACACCTACTTCCTATGATCTGAACTTAGTGTTCCCATTAATGTGCTGCAAGATAGAATTAGCCTTTTGGCCACTGATTCATAATATTGGCCCATATTTAATTTGCGGTTGACAACATCCAGATCCTTGTGCTATTGCCAAGTCAGATTTCCCCATCTGATATGCGTACTTTTTATTTTTCCCACTCAAAAGCAGAAATTTACGTACCTCCCTGTTAAATTTTATCCTATTCATTTCCTCCCACTGTTCAATCCAGTTTAGATCTTTTTTAATCTCTACTCTTTCCTCTAAAATATTAGTCACATCTCCCAATTTTGTGTCATTGTAATTATCTTCATCTGATATTCTGTTTTAAATATGAAGTGTAGTGTGAATATCATAAATAAAAAATAAGTAAAATTGATTTTTTTATTAAAGTATCTTAACTCACAATAAATTATTCATTGAAATTAGGGCCTGGAAGACAATCATTTTGGAAAAGTTCAAACTGAATTGTGTGACACCCTCAAAATTACTAAAAAATGTGTGATGCTTACCTTTTCTTGCTGGTATGTCAGTTGGGTAAAAAATATCTATGGCACCACCTTTCAAAACTTCTTGCACTTCCTTCTGTCTAATTGTCCCGTTAGACATCTGATCACCATGTCCTCTTTGCTTCTCTGGGCTGAGTGAAGGCAGCTCATCAACTTCTGCTTTCCTCAAGGACATCCGAATGTCTGAGTTAGCGTAAGTGTAGCCATGGCCTGCTGGACAGATTTCCTTAAAAGTTTCTGTAGCCAAGAAACCAGGAAAAGTAGCCAATTACAAGATTTGACTTAAACAATACAAAGAAAAACTAAAGCTACAAAAAGAATATGATGTGTCTGGGATTTACCATCTCAAATAATCTAATTCAATAATAGTGGGATTTTTTTCAGTTATATATATAAGATGTGTGGGGACACATATCTTCTCTGTTAAAGGTGTCTATTTAAATAACTCCTATAATCAAAACATTGCAGGAAAACAAGTATAGGTTATATATACTTGGAACCAAAATTGAAAAATGGATGTCATCAGCAGGAAAAATTTAATGTTTGCAGAGTTGGATGCAACCTCCTGTTAACTGAGAAACTGGTTTTTCAGTGAGAGCAGTCAAGAAAACACAATGACACAGAAATTCTCATTCTGTTCCTTTCTATGCTGCTCGGAGTCATATGTATACATATGGCTCAATTTCAACCAAACTTAGTATACAGATGAGTTATTTTCTGGAAAAAAAATACTGTGGGGGTAAGACACCCCTAACACCCCTCGGGGTGTATGTTCTGTTAAGATACAGCCTGTTGTGCCTTAAAATGGATTCTGCTGTACTAATGGCTTCTACTGTACAGCGCAGTAGAGTTGCCATGGTAACAGCTTTACAGTACTCCATAAGGGGGCTCACTTTGGTAAGGGGGAAAATCCAATATTAGAAATTATGTTTGGTCTCGACATTTTCCCCCTATAAATAAATACCCGAGCAATGCTGGGTTATCAGCTAGTTTAATAATAAACAAGCAAACAAATAAAATTGCATGAGGATGAAGAGAACCACTGGAAAGAGAAAACTCTTCCTCTAACATAGTGTTTTATGGCAGCTCTTCTTATAGCAATCTTTTTCCCTCTATTGGCTGCCAGATTAGTGGCAGCTATATCTCCCCTCATTCCTTATAATGGAGTTCGCTGCCCAAATATACAGAAAGGCATCAATCTATACATTGAGAAGTCATATATCTCTATTTCTTCTACTTTGTCATGCTTCGGTAGGTTTTTTGAACCCTGAACTCCTCACTGCATATCCTCACTGACTTGAGGCAAGTTTCTTTGGATGGCAAAAAGCCAGTCCTCTGTATATGCAACGCTTCTGAAACCCAGTTTTGGCAGAGAACATGATGATACCGAAACATTTAGCGCAATCACAGGATTTAACATAACTGGACAAAACTAGAAATAATATGTTTCAAACAAGAAAGCCGAAGTCTTACCAGAGCCCAACAATGGGCATATCTCACAATTTCTCCCCCATCCTTGGCCAACACGACTACAGCAGCAGATCTGTTTGGTGATCTGCTGATTAAGTGGCAGCGTACACATTCCTCTTATCACAGAGCGATAGCATGACCCTTGTTCTGTTGAAACTGCCTTGTCCGCTGAAACAAAATTATGGATTTTTCATCTGGTATCAATTTTTGAAAATTCAAATAAAAGCACAGAATCTTTGTAATTCAGGGAGATCTCTGAAGTTAATTTCCCCATGCTTGGTAGGGTTCTTGTCCAGATAAAAGGCCATTTTCTACCCACACACACACGCACGCACAAGCACACGCACGCACGCACGCACACAAACACTCACCACTTTGGAAACAGTAGTATTTACTTCTGAATAAGCAAATTCAGAAAATTCATAAATGTTCATACATTTTATTTTCCTATCTTAATGTTTCTACTCAATTATTTCATCAAAACAGAAAGGAAATGCACAGAAACGAAGGATAATTTAACACTGCCATTCATTCATTTTGAACAAAAATTATTTTAAAACATTACATTCATCATGCTGCAAAATGAATGGTTGAATAGAAGATTAATCTATTTAAGTTGCCAATCCAGACACCTCCTGCTTTAGGATGCTGGCAAGCAACTGATTTTATAAATACAGTATAACAATTATAAGTAAAATAATATAACAGTTTAAGTCTATAAGTTTGCAACAAGACTGCATCACTTCAGATTTTAGTTAACAAATCAGTAAGATCTTTCATTGTAAATGAACTGTCATTGCAAAGTTTTCAGTGTGTTAAATAATGTCATTTTCAGCTTAAATTTGGCTCATTTAAATTACTAAACTATTCTTAAACAGACTGAAAAATACTCTGAATTTTCATATATAATCTACTTTAATAAAGTTTTAGTAGGTGGCCCTTCTTAAATGCTCAGTACAATTGTATAATACTTCATGTTTCTTATTTCCTATTATTCATATATTGTTGCATTTTTATTAGTACAAAGATCTACAAAGGAGAGGTCTGTAAAGAGTTTTATAACTATGTTATAAATTTATAAATCGGCTCTCCTGCATTGCATCAGTTTGGCATAAAGGGCATGCTGCAAGTACCAAACACCAAGGTGGAGCTGGTGGGTCCTGGGAGCAGGCCTTCCCTGCCATGACAAAATTGCAAAATTCTCCCTCATCCCCAAAGTTAGATTAACAATATGTTAATATTCACTCTCCCCATGCCCATAGTTTGTATATCTTGCTTTTTAAACATATTTTGATATTGGCAATTATTTTTAGTAATTATTGTGTTTTAATTGTTGTATTTGTGTGTTATTGTTGTATGCCACACAGAATCACTCCTTGTGAGGGGCAGATCTAGATAGCTAATCTAACTTTGGGGATGATGAATAGATAGATAGATAGATAGATAGATAGATAGATAGATAGATAGATAGATAGATAGATAGATAGATAGATAGATAGATAGATAGATAGACGATATAGATAGATAGATAGATAGATAGATAGATAGATAGAT